ACTACTGCAATCTCCTCGATCCCCCACTTCCATCTATGTTCTACTGGTTCCTCCTTGTTCTCGTTGCATACCATGACGGCACTCTTCTTAACGTTGGCAGAAAATCTTCACTTTATCAGTAAACTTCTTCGCCGCGTCAATTTGCAGCTGCAGTCCCTCAGGGTGTCCGACATACCGACAAAATCATCCGCAAACAGCATTCCTGAAACCGACGTTTCCGTGTCCCCTACTTTTACTCCCTTCCGGACTGCCTCTACGACTTCCAACAGATCGTTGATGAACACCTGGAACAATGTTGGGGACAGCGTGCAACCTTGTGGGACCCCCTGCTCTATGTCGAAGATTTTTGACAGTTCTCCGTCTAACATGACCGCGCCTTTCGTGCACTCTGTCATGTTCTTCAGCACTCTCCACATTTTCTCCTTGATCCCGTATTTGGACAGTTGTTTCCACAACCCATTTCTCCATACGGTGTCGTATGCCTTTTTCACGTCCAGGAAGAAGAAGTACGTCGACCTTCCCGCCCTCTTTCTACCTTGGATGATTCTCCCTACCCTGCATGCGTGGTCTACGCACCCCCTCTTCTTGCGGATACCTGCCTGGCCCTCACTAATGCTATGTTCCTTCTCCAATACTCCCACTATCCTATCGTTCAGCAGCTTACAGAACACTTTTCCTACCGTGTTCAACAGTGTGATCCCCCTGTAGTTTCCTGGGTCAGTATTGTCTCCTTTTTTGAACAAGTTCACAACCACTCCTTCCCTCCATCTACTTGGCGTATACTCGTTTTTCCACACCCAATTGTATAGCAGTACCATCAGCTGGATCATCCCCTTCCCCCCAAACTTCATGAACTCGTTGACTATCCCATCCGCTCCTGCTGCTTTGTGGCACTTCAGCTTGTTCACACACGCCTCAACCTCGTCCTCAGTGAACTCNGTGCGATCATCCCCCTTGCGCGGAGTGAGGGTTCTCGACCCCGCACAACATGATCTACTCGACCACCATTATGGTTACCGCCAAAGAAAAAACAGAGGTAAAAAAAAACGGTAACCTGGTTGCCGATATCACGAAGTGAATTGGCTTGTTTTACAACGTCGTTGCCATGCGACGAAAATCCAATCCCGATGGCAGACACCGGGGGGGGTGAGGATGGGGATCTGGGACGGATCGGCGTCTTGGCACATCGGCGCAAAAGAAACGTTGCCTACATTTTCAGACTAACGATCATGCCTGGTTGCCATCCTCGCACACAAGGCATCGATACAATTGTTCAAGCCAAGAGCGAGAAAACAACGAACGAAGCGAAACGTCCTGTGCAGTATTGCAGATCTTATGCGCTTTAGAGCAGTACAAAAATGTTTCGCACCCAAAGGGACGCATGTAAGCCATGCACCCACACCTTTTCTACCGACGGAACCACCAGGATCGACCTAGGTCTACTCCAAGGCCCACCAACGTAGCAACTACCTACGTTGGGGCCAACCTAGCGCCTAGCCAAACCAATACCAACATAGGTTGATCGCATCAACACCAACCTAGCATCTATCAAAGGAGTACCATCCTATAGAATTTCCCATCAACACCAACCTAGCGCCATTGCCGGCATTCCAACAACCTAGTACTGAGCCACCCAGCGCCAACCTAGCACCTTTTGGGTGGGTTTGGGGTTAGGGGTAGGGTGTAGCGTTAGGGATTGTAGCCGGTTTCAGGCCCGTGCCAAAGCAGAGCATCAATCTAATGTTTAGATATACCCGAATTTCTTTGAATGTAACTAAATCAACGATATGTAGTTGCTGGTTGAAGGTTAGTAGAGCGACAAGTGGAAGAAACGGATACATGTTCGTGAAGCTCGTTCTTCAGACAGTATTTCCGTCGGTAAAAGGTGTGGGTGCATGACTAATATGCGTCCCTTTGGGTGCATGAGTTGTACATCGAAGTATAAACAAGTCGCAAGAGCATGGGAGGAAAGAGAAAAAGCTAACTTCAGAAATGAAAAAAGAAACTCCATCGCCGGGAGTTGAGCTCGGGTCTCACCGGTGAGGGCGTCAAACCTTAACCATGGGACTAGGAAGGAATCGTTCGACGGTGCCGACTCGAATTTGGGGCATATGGTTACGAGAAATTGTATGCTTTGTGTTTCGAGGCTGAAAAAACACTGTAACTCATTCATCGCCATCGGGTCCATCTACCATTCGTCTATCCATTCGTTTGCCGACAATGACGCACGCATGCAATTCTTCAAAAGAAAATGCATCTAATAGAGACAATCACCCACCGCCCCCAAAGACGCATATACCTCACTCAAACCATCGACCCATCTACCGTAAGGATGCCGATCTTGGCACGGATCGGTGTCTTTGGTACACTCTGCTTGAAAACAACCTGATAACGAAAAATAAATGAAAGACGAACCGCACAGCGGTGTGCCAAGCAATAATATTAGATGCAGTCCATGGGGACGCACATACGCCATGCACCCACACCGTTTTCTACCGACGGGACCACCCAATCAAGAGCGACCTAGGCCCATACCAACCTAGCACCTACCCACGTCAACACCAACGTAGCACCTATCCAAGCCTACCAACCTAGGTCAATCGCATCATCACCAACCTAGTACCTATCCAAGCAATAACCTCGAGATTATCCCATCAATACCAACCTAGCGCCAATGCCGGCACACCAACCTAGAACTGAGCCATCCAGCGCGAACCTAGCACCTATTGGGTGGGGTTGGGGTTAGGTTTAGGGTGTAGCGTAAGGGATTGTAGCCGGTTTCATGTAGTTGCAGGTTGAAGGGACAGAATACTGCTCCTGTCAGTAGAGCTACAGGTGGAAGAAACGGATACATGTTCGTGACGCTCGTTCCTCACACAGTATGCCCGTCGGTGATAAGGTGTGGGTGCGTTTATATGCGTCCCTTTGGGTGCATAAATAAACAAAAATCCTGAGAGCAGGCGAGGAAAGAGACGAAGCTATCTTCAGAAATGGTTAAAAAGTAAAAACTCCCTCGCCGGGAATTGAACCCGGGTCTCATCGGTGAGAGCGATGTATCCTAACCCGAAGGAATTATTACGTGTCAATGACAGGAGTAGGGGGCATATATCCTCGGAAAAATGGTATGCTTTACTGTTTCGACGCGGAAAGACACTAAATATCTCATTCATTGCGTTTCAATAAGACCTCATCCAAACCAGCGGGGTCATCTACCATTTGTCTATCCACTCGTTTTTGCCGACAATGACGCACGCATGCAATTCTTCAAAAGAAAATGCCTCCAGAGACAATCACCCACCGCCCCCAAACAAAGAAGCATATACCTCACTCAAACCGACGGAACCACCCAATCAAGAGCGACCTAGGCCTACACCAACCTAGCACCTACCCACGTCAACACCAACCTAGCACCTATCCAAGCCTACCAACCTAGGTCAATCGCATCATCACCAACCTAGCACCTATGCAAGCAAGAACCTCGAGATTATCCCATCAATACCAACCTAGCGCCAATGCCGGCACACCAACCTAGAACTGAGCCATCCAGCGCCAACCTAGCACCTATTGGATGGGGTTGGGGTTTGGATTTTTAGGGTGTAGCGTGAGGGATTGCAGCCGGTTTCATGTAGTTGCAGGTTGAAGAGGCAGAACATTGCTCCTGTCAGTAGAGCGACAGGTGGAAGAAACGGATACATATTCGTGACGCTCGTTCCTCACACAGTATCCCCGTGGTGATAATATGGTGTTGTTGTTGTTGTTGTTGTTGACTTCACATTAAACCGTATGCCAGTTGCTAAATGCCAAAATCTAGCAAAGACTCTCGGCCCGTGGTCACGAAAGTGCTGGAGCCATCTGAGGATCTAAAGAACACGCACACGTAGCAAGAAAAAGGTGTACAAGAGCCCGAAGAGGTACTACTACACCTATATATAATCCCTGCAGCACCGTACGCGTGCCCAAAACTGAACTACACGTCCGTCTCACCGT